AATTATTAATTATTAATTATTAATTATTAATTATTCTTCCCTTGAAAATAATGCTTAAATATAATTTTAAGAGAATGTTAATTAAAATGTTACTGATATCTTAATCCAAATCATTGCAATAAATATTTATGCAGGTACTAAAAGCTTCGACTCGTCTTCGAAAGTGGTACCTTAAATCTCCGGACGAGGCTAATCAAAAATCGGATGAAGCTTAATTATTTTTGTCTTGCAGAATTTTAGTATGCAAATTTCAGTGAAGTTTGATATTCTGGATCAACGCGGATTAAAGCCTATTTATATTTTTTGCTTAAAATAATATTTCTTAATAAAAAGACTAAATTTGAAAGGGATGGATAGTGGTAAATTTATTATTTTTTATCTTTACATAATTTGTTAAATAATAACTTTGATTTCTCAAATTTGAGAAACCAAAATTACAATTGGGCAAGTTTTGCACTTACCCTTTTTGTTGTTGGAGCACATCACTCTAGGAGTTGCTCTTAGTTGGAATGTAAAAAATAAGACAATCATGCCATTCTTTCATTTGCAAATATTAATTGGAAAAAAGTAATTATTAGACACTATAAGGACGTTAAGTGCAAATATTTACTCCTATTTTTATGTATATAGTTTCTTATATGAGTTATTTTTATGTAGCATACGATTTTATTTTTAAGAGTTCATAATTTGTTTATTATCAGTTGTATTATTATCTTTAGAATATATCATATCATATTATCATTTTAAGAAATAAATGTGAACTAGGGAGAAAATATTTCTCATACCGAGCAATAAATTATTTTTGGGTGAATTGCAGCTAACCCCTGAGATCTGAGATAAGGTCAAATTACAAAAAATCTCTTATGTTTGAGTAATTACAAACACCTCCTTTAACCATGAATCTTCTTATACGTCCACCCTTTCTGAGTTGTCGTGTCAAATAGTGGAATCTTCTAGATTACATGAAATATACATCCGTTTTATCTCATTCGAGCTCCATATTTTGAAACAAAATGATCATAACATGTGTAAGTTGTAGAAGATCCTGTTAAATATGACACGATCATGGTAGACGTGTAAGAAAATTCATAGTCTATGTAGAACGGAAACTTCAACTTGTTACCACCGTCTCCGCATTTCGGAAACGTTTCGTGTCGAAAACTCAAAGACACCTATCAGACACCCTATGGGCCATTTTGTAAGTTCTAAAAAGTTAGAAACATGTTTGAATAGCAATTTTTTTCTTCATAATTTTGTTATTTCCCAAATTACTTGATCAACTGCAAATTGATAGTTGACGGTATAATTTATTTTGAATACGTTCGTATAAAAATATATAACAAAATAAAAACTTATATATGTTTATCACGAAAACCACTCTCTATAACAACTATGTCACACATGAAAACCACTCTGTATAACAGCTACGTAAACATGAACACCACTTCGTATAATTACAAATTTCCACGACCAACAATCATTAAACTAAAAAAAAAAAATCTGAAAAAAAACACAAACATGTATTATATCTCTGCAATTATATTGGATTTTTTGAAGCTCCCAACAGAGAAAAGTGAGAGAAAAAACACGTAGATAGAGAAAATGAGTGGTCATTGTCACTAGGTAAACAAATAGTAACACTCCTAAAAAAGATTAAAGGGTTCTTTCTTTGTTTGCTTGTTTTTGTGATTCCCATGATGGGTTGATGTTATTAAATCTTGAGTTTGCCAAAGCGATGGGAGGAGATAATATGGTTGTTAAAATGGGTAACTAACTCCCTAATTATTAGGATCCCTTAATGGAAAAAATATTATATAATTATATCTTTTAATATTAAAATTAAATATATTTTTTTTCTTAACTAGGGGTATAATGGTGATAATTAAATATTTTTAATTAGACAAAATTGTTTTGGATTTATCTAAAAAATGTAAAATAAAATTGAACTCATTGTAATGATACTTGTAGGGAGTTTTGTCAAATTATCCCCATATATAATTATACTCCTATACTTTTAATATTTACACATTTCCCTCAGGTTCTCGTATTCTTATTTTTAAAGCATGCCGTTTCCCCATTTCCCTGTATCGCCGTTACCGTTTCCTTGCCACATAGTTCATAGTTGAAGAAGGGTGGTAGTTATTATCATAACACGAGGGGTTTTTTCGTAATTTGAACTTATCTGAACGGTGGCCCTAAATTACACTTATTTCTAATTCCATCAAATTAAAAAGTGGAATAAAAATATATCTATACATATATATATATATATATATATATATATATATATATTTCTTAGGTACGTACCTACCAGCAAAACTCACCGGGTGGGTGGCAATGTGGCATGGCAGTGCAAAAAAAGTTTGATTGAATAAATGGTCCGTGTGTGTTGATACGTGGTGAATTCTCAGCCGTTCATTCTACCAAACTCTTTGCATAAAGCATTTACTATTTCACTTGTTCCTGTTTATTTACATTTCATCGGGAAAGGGGGTTTGTGGATTTTGTAGTTGTATTGTACCCCCATAATTTTATTTTAAAATCAAACAGAATATTCTCTCAAGAAATGGAAACCCTCCTCTAATGGCCACCTTTTAAGTTCTTCTTCCTCTTTCCATTACCACAGTCCTGTAATAATCTTTCATTTGCACACACAATCTTGTAGTAAACAACTCAATGTTAGTTCTCTCTCTCTCTCTCTCTCTCTCTCTCTCTCTCTCTCTCTCTTGATCAATCTGTATATATGTGTATGTATATTTGCTTGTGGTTGTTTTTCCCTTTTAATTTCTTGATTTAGCTTCTCTGTTTGAAGAAATTGTTGAGGCGAAGTTCTGCAGCTTCTTGATTTAGCCCACTGTATGTATATATATGTATATATTCTGTGTTAGTGTGTTTTAGTGTGTGTTTTGCTGCTTTTACATAATGGTTTTTTTTTTCTTTTTCTTTTTTTGTATGTCATCTACTTTAATCGATGTTAGTAATTGGAATAATGATTGGCTCCTTGAAATAAAAATGAAATCTTTAATTTTGGGGGTACAAGAGCATACATTACAGAACTTCTATAAATTAATACTCGATAAATTAATAACTTCGATTAAATAATAGTTTCTCCTAGTGCCGACTTGGTGAAAACGTATTGAATTATTAACTTGATAATTTAATAATTCGCTAAATTAATAGAATTTCCCAGGTCCCGACTCTATTGATTTATAGAGGTTTAACTGTATTTAGTTTAATTTGTATTTAGTTTAATTTTGTGCAATTAATTTAAGATCTAATTTGCACACAGCCATGGATAACAATCTCCAAGAGAGGCTGCTGCCGGAAAACAAGGGGGCTTTGACGAAAAGGGTTTACGATGAATCGAAGAAAGTTTGGAGGGTTGCTTTGCCCGGCTTAATATCGAGAGTTTCTTCTTTCGGGACTATAGTAGTGACACAGTCTTTTATCGGGCACGTAAGTTCCATCGATCTTGCCGGTTACGCCCTTGTCCAAACCCTCCTCGTTCGGTTCGTCAATGGCGCTCTGGTAATTTCTTCGTTCTTTCTTCATCACAATGTATATATATATATATATATATATATATATATATATATATATATATATATATATATATATATATATAGAAAATTAAATTCTTGATTAATGCTAATAATGCACAATAGCTACTTCGATTTACATTGTACTTCGTTTTGCATTAAACGATAATGTTTCATTTGGATTGAAGGATTTGAAACAATTAACCGAAGTTAATTCGTTTGCTATATTTTAATTATTAATTATCTATCTTTAATCGTTGTTATGCAGATAGGAATGTCGAGTGCGACCGAAACCCTATGCGGGCAAGCGTTCGGGGCGAAACAATATCACATGATGGGAATATTCCTGCAAAGGTCGTGGTTGGTCGATCTCGTCACGCTAACAATCTTACTCCCACTTTTTCTATTCGGCACCGCAATGTTCAAACTACTCGGACAAGATTACGCGATCGCGGAATCCGCAGGAACTATTGCTCTATGGTTCATACCGTTCTCGTACGCCCTTGTTTTTAGCTTGACGATCCAAATGTATCTACAAGCCCAGCAAAAGAACTTGATCGTCGCTTATTTGTCGGTCCTGCAAATCGGCGTTCACGTTCCTCTGTCTTGGGTTTTCGTCTCTGTTTTCGGGTGGGGCGTTAGCGGCGCTATGGCGGCGCTAAGTATTTCTTCGTGGGTTGTTGTTTTGGGGGAGTTTCTTTATATTTTTGGAGGGTGGTGCCCGGATTCTTGGACAGGCTTCACTACGGCTGCGCTTAAGGATATTTTTCCGGTTGTCAAACTCTCGATTGCTTCCGGTCTTATGATTTGGTAATAATTTTATGAAAATTGGTTTTATTCGTCTCGAATATTTTTTTTTCTTTTCGCTAAGTGTTTGTTCGATCGTGTATAGCTTGGAGATGTGGTACTATGCCATTCTTGTCTTGGTTGCTGGATACATGAAAAATGCAGAGGTTGCGATTTCCGCCTTCTCTATTTGGTAAGACTTTGTTAAACCATAGCGATTTATTGCATTTAGCACCCTCATGTTTTCTCTAATATTCAAGAACCCCCCGTATTATAAATATTAGTAAACACCCCCTCATATGATTCAGATTTATTAGCAAACTACCCCCTAGAAACACACCATTTAGGGGGTTGCGCGCTAAAAAAATATAGTATTTATAACATGAGGACTTCTTTAGCGATTAGGTAGACCATAGGGGTACCAAATGCAGTAAACTCTAAACAATTGTCCGATTGTTCGATTCGATTTTAAAAATATGCATGCCCTCTAATGTAATACTTCATTAAATAGCAGAGATTTGTTGCATGTAGCACACCTCCAATTTGTATCCCTCAAGTTTGCACCAATTTCACATTTTAACCCCCAGGTTCACAAAAAATTATCTGGTCCCTCATGTTTCAAAAATTCAACACTTTTAGTTCTCTCCGTCTATTTTCTGTAATTACTAGCGGAATCAAGTTTGTGCCTATCATTACCTTAACTAACGGACTAAAGGAAAATTGACAGAAAGGACCAAAAGCGTTAAATTATTGAAACATGAGGGACTAAATGTGTTTTTTTATAAACATGAGGGACCTAATGTAAAACAAGTGCAAACTTGAAGGATGAAAACTGTAATTTCCCTAAAACTCTCCGTATCGTAAATATTAGTAGAATCCCCCTTATCATTCAAAATTATCATAATACGAGGATTTTTTTAGTGGTAATGTATAACACAAGGCTACTAAATGCAATTAACTCTAAACAAAAGTCTCGTTGTTTTTATGCCGTTTTAAAATGTAAGCTAAAAAGTGAAAAAACTTGCAGCCTCAACATCAATGCTTGGGAGTTCATGATATGCTTGGGAGTTCTTGGTGCCGCAATGTAAGTACTTACGTGTGTGATTAATTTGCAAAATATTATTTTATTTTCTTCCAATTTTTTTTCGCTTATTTAATGTTGATGTATATATATATATGTGTGTATATATAGCGTTCGTGTGGCTAATGAGCTAGGAAGAGGAGATGCTAAAGCTGTGAAATTCTCCATTAAAGTGATCTTGTCAACTTCGACTTTAATAGGGCTCGTATTTTGGATTCTTTGCTTAGTATTTGGAAACAAACTCGGGTATTTATTCACCGACGACGAAGAAGTTGCAAAGAGTGTGGCCGATTTGTCTATTCTGCTTGCTTTCTCGGTTTTGTTCAATAGCATTTATCCAGTGTTCTCAGGTGCACTCCCCTTATCATACAACCTATTAAGTTAACGGTCGAGATTTAATCTGCACATCTTCTGATTCAATTTTTTTTTAATTAAATAAAAAAATAAAACAGGTGTAGCAGTTGGAGCAGGAATGCAAGCTACGGTTGCGGTTATAAACATCGTTTGCTTCTATATTATTGGATTGCCGGTTGGACTTCTGCTTGGATACGTCGGTCATCTTCAAGTTAAGGTACAAAAACAAAATAAAATAAAAAATAACCGATTTTTCAACTTTCCTAAAGTTTGGTGATTAGAAATGGTTAAAAAAATCGAGAAAATTATTACAAACACGAATTTGATTCGGACAGGGCTTATGGATTGGAATGATATGTGGGGTTGTGGCCGAGACATTTGCACTGAGTTTCATGATGTGGAGAACAAATTGGGATGAAGAGGTATTAATTATTCTTAGTTTATCTCCGATTTTCTGTTTTTTTTTTAAATTGGAAATTTTTAAATGCTTTCGAATAAATTGCATTGGTAGAAAATTGTAGCTAAATTGTCACGATTGTATTTATAGGTACTAAAAGCTTCGACTCGCCTGCGGAAGTGGTACCTTAAATCTCCAGAAGAGGCGAACCGAAAGTCTGATGAAGCTTGAGTTTCGAATTTCTTGGATGATATTAAATTCGAAATTTTTAGTATGCAAATTTCGTTTTTTTTTCGTGATAATTTTCCGAGCCCATTTTCTGAAGGGTATTTTTGTAACTTGAAAGCTGCCTCACTGTTCAATTGTAGTGGGAGCTTCAAGATTAAGAATTATCTCTTTAATTATTTTTCTATTGGTGTTGATTTAGTTAGCAATTTATGCTAATGTTTTCATACAATATGCTTTCTTTTTTGAGGTCTTTTGATATTTTTTCGGATAAATAGCACTTAATCTGCTGTAGTTTGAACTTTGTGCACATAATTCCTTTATAGTTTGAAATTTGTTCACCCGACCCTCTTTAGTTTTTTTAAAAATACAAGGGGGTTATGTGTTATATTGAGAGTACAGGGGGTTAATGCACAAAGTTCAAACTACCGGGAGTAAGTGTTATTTACCCTATTTTTTACAATGAAATAACACAAAAGATCAAACAATAACATGAAGCAAAGTATTATTAAGCATTGTAAATTAGTTGACTCAACTTTGTATCTAAAAAAATATCATATGCTTGTACTAAAAAAAAAAAAACAGATTTAATTATATACTCGCTTAAAAAAAAAAAGAAAATCATATTATTTCTTTGGGCCGATCACCAAATGGGCCAAATTGAAGAAATAATCTCCCTTTGAAAAAACGTGGTTTCACATTTTATTTAAGAGCACGTTTTATGTATTAAAACGCGTTTTTCTCCCCATTTGAGCAGATTGACTAATATCACTCTCCCCTTGTGATACCGTTTGAATTTTCCCCCAATTCTTCATGCCCTAATTGTGACATTTTATTTGAATCATAATCCCATGTAGTCGCCATACAGAACGTTGCTTCCTGGTATTTTGTTTTCGGCACTTTTCAGGTAAAGTAAGTTCTGATTTCCCCCGCATTCAAATTATCGATGGGTTTTTTGACTTCAGTATTTTTCTATTGGTTGATTTACTAATGCTGATTTCCAGATTAAATTGAGTTGTTGTTTTCCCTTGCTTTCATAAATTGTGAACATTATTTCGTTGATTGGTAGTATCTGCAGTTTTCTGCTTGTTTGGTCTCTCATTTGGCAAAGGTTTCATTTTTGCTTATACTGAATCTGCTGCATATGTGTGTGTGTGTGTGTGTGTGTGTGTGTGTGTGTGTGTGTTCTTTTCTTGCAAGATTTGGTTTTGTATTCTTCTGCTGTAAATGCCAAGTGTTTTTGATTGATACAAACATTGGTTCTTGGGGCTTAATTGTATTACTTGTGAGTGGTGACCAACTTGGTGTAAACTGTTTTTATGACAGCGCCCTCGAAATGCTTCTGCTATATGGAAATTCTACCGAATGCAGCTGCCCAGCTTAGGAAAATGACCCAACTTTCTGAGAATAATGGTAAGCAACGTAATAAGTACACAATTAAGCATACGAGTATCTAAGCCGATCATGACAACTGGATGGATTTTTGGACGTTTTATACCTAAAAAAAATTGTGTTATTTTTGCCTGTCTCTTCAGTACGTAAATTTTGGTACATATTAATTGATGTAGGCATATGAGACACGAGATAAAATGAGCCAAAAAGGAAAACACCGAATATTGATGGTGTCCGACTTTTTCTACCCCAACTTTGGTGGTGTAGAAAATCACATTTACTATCTATCTCAATGCTTGATAAAACTTGGCCACACGGTTAGTAATCATGCATTATTTCACGCTCTAAAAGGAAATATTACGAACATAATGAATTTGACTTATTTTTTCTTTTTTTTTTTCCGTTCGGTTGTTCAGGTAGTTGTTATGACCCACGCTTATGGAAATCGTTCTGGAGTGAGGTACATGACCGGTGGATTGAAAGTCTATTACGTACCATGGAAACCGTTTCTCATGCAGAATACACTGCCTACATTTTACGGAACACTTCCAATCGTAAGAACGATTCTGCTACGAGAAAGGATATCGTTAATTCATGGCCATCAAGCCTTTTCAACTCTATGTCACGAAGCTCTCATGCACGCACGCACAATGGGCTACAAAGTCGTCTTTACGGACCATTCACTTTATGGTTTTGCCGATGTGGGAAGTATTCACATGAACAAGGTTCTGCAGTTTACTCTCGCTGATGTCAGCCAGGCGATTTGTGTTTCTCATACGAGTAAAGAAAATACAGTTTTGAGATCTGGGCTGCCGCCCGAAAGGGTTTTTGTTATTCCAAATGCTGTGGATACAGCTATGTTCAAGCCTCCTCGAGAAAGACTTGGCAGTAGTGAAATTGTTATTGTTGTTATAAGTCGGTTGGTTTATAGAAAAGGGGCAGATCTACTCGTTGAAGTGATACCTGAAGTGTGTGCTTTGCATCCAAATGTGAGTAAGTCTTTTTTTTTTCAATTTAGTTTATTTGTTCGTTTTTTAATGTGTCCTCACCTTTACGTGAGAAGTAGATTTGTCTTTCATTATTTGAACGAGCTTTTTGTATCTGTTTCATTAGACGGATAAGCTTTTAAATACCACGTGTGTGTGTGTATCTGTTTCTTTCGTTACTTCATTTTCAATTCTGATGCGTTTATTAAGGTACGTTTCATTATCGGGGGAGATGGACCTAAAAGAGTGCGGTTAGAGGAGATGAGGGAAAAACACTCTCTTCAAGATCGAGTCGATATGCTGGGTGCGGTCCCACATGCTAAAGTACAGTCAGTTTTGGTTAGTGGACATATATTCTTAAACAGGTATATTACTTCTTCATTTATTAGTTTGATTTAAAAAAAAAACTAAAATACGATGTTAGAACTTGGAACTTGATTTCAAATCCTCCAAATTGGAGACTTCTCCGATCGAGTTTGTCTCTTGTTCCGGGCTATGACATTTTGTTATGTAAACTATATTCTTGTTTGCATAATATATTAGCAAATGTCTCGATTTTCTCGACCTGATCCGTATCTGTTTCGACAGTTCCTTAACAGAGGCATTCTGTATAGCTATATTGGAAGCTGCTAGTTGTGGATTATTAACCGTCAGTACACGCGTGGGCGGTGTCCCAGAGGCATGGTGAAATCACATTTGCACTTTGTTTTTCCTAATTCGATAATTATCTAATATTGAGTAGGGATTACAATTTCCAGTATTTCTGTCTTAAAATTTAACATAAACATTAATTCGATAACGCTGTTTAATAGGTTCTTCCGGATGATATGATTGTTCTTGCAAAGCCAGATCCTAGTGACATGGTACAGGCAATTACAAAAGCGATACACTTGCTTCCACAAATTGATCCACAAGCAATGCACTGTCGTGTGAGTTCTCTTACACACACACACACATAATTTTTATTATTTACGGAGTTGTTTAATTTAATAAAATAAATAGCTGAACCACTGATGTCATAATCAAGAATATGTTTGGTTCAGTTTATTAAATAAATATTACGGTATTGACATTGCCTAAATTGTCCTTGTCAGGTGAAGAAACTCTATAGTTGGTACGATGTTGCCAAAAGGACAGAGATTGTGTATGAACGTGCTTTCAATTGTTCCAATCAGAGTCTCGTAGAACGTTTACCGAGGTATGCATATAGAGACTTGTATCTATACTTGTAAAATCGTATTTTCGTACTATGCAACCATAGGTAAATGCCTATTTATTCCAGTGAAAAAAATTGAGACGTGCAATAAGATAATGAATTCTCTGCCCTAAGAATTGATTTTTTTATAAATAACGGTTAAATCATATTATATCTCGACTTTTAGGTACCTCTCGTGTGGTGCGTGGGCAGGCAAGCTATTTTGCTTGGTCATGATCATTGATTTTCTGCTATGGCATCTTTTGCAAATGTGGAAGGTACCGTGTTCTTGCATCATCATTTTTTTCTACAGTTTTCAGTGCTGTAATTATATTGCACGAGTTAATTTATTTTTCTCTCGCTAACATAATTATTATTATTATCATCAAATCTTACAAAAAAAAAAAAAAGCCCGATAAGGAAATCGAGGTTGTGCCTGAGATTGATTTCGCAAGTCGTCCAAGTGAAGAAGCGGCATGGGATTCCTCTACAGATGAGAGTTAGGAAATGGTGCGCTTGCTTTAACGGCCGGATTTTTCGAATTCAAGAATCAGTGTAGAAGATTAGTGTGGCGTTTTGGTAAATTTCGATCGTTGTTAGTGTACCTGTTTGCAATACTCACACGCTATAGGTAATGGTTGTGTAGATTTATGGTGCAAAATTACTCGGGTGTATTTAATCCAGTATAATGTGAGCGATACTACTATTAAAAAATGTTGTATACCACCTCATGCTTTGACATTTGGCAACAATTTGTGACTTTGCTCGGAACTTAAATTAATATTTTATTCTCAAATTATTTACAATATTATTAAATTGTGATTTCTTATTTGATTGAAGATGCCACGATTTCTCCAATCATGTTAAAAGTGACACGTTTTAAATAATATTTATATATTAGGGTAAACTCCGGTCACTCCCTGAAGTTAGGTCAAATTATAAAAAAAATCTTCTTATGTTTGGGTAATTACAACCACCTCCTCAACTATGGATCTTCCTACCTGTCTATTCTTGCAGTGTCAAATTTAGTGAAATTTTTTAGATTATGTGGAATATTCTTCAGTTTGTGCCCGTTTTACTCCATTTAAGCTCCACATATTGAAACGAGATGATCATAAAATGTGTCTCTTGAGTTGTAAATATCAGATTGTGGTGCATCAGAAAACTGCATTTTTGTATTTTTGCAGAAAACGAATACAAACTAGAGGGCATTCCACGGAATGTACAAGATTCTGTTGAATTTGGCACAATGAGAATGAACATGTAAAAAGATTCATAGTTAAAGGTAGTTGTAATTACCCAAACATAAGATTTTTTTTCGTAAATTAACCTTACTTCAGGGGGTCGCCGTAATTTACCCCTTATATTATGTAAATTTAGACAGTGACAAGAGGCCAACAATGTGAGATCCAAAAAAGACAAACAAACACGGTCCTAGAAATTAATTCGAAAAAGACCCAACAAAATATCAACAAAGAGTTGTTGACAATCATATGTCATAACAATCAAAGAAATAAAATTAAAAAAAAAAGTTCAAGTTCATCTTCTCCACCCCACCTCCAACACCCACCCCCCCCCCCCCTCAACCCCTATTTTTAAATATTTTTACATAAAATTTATGTAATTTTGTTATTTACCGAAACAAATCGTGTATGCAGTTCGGTAAACGGTATGAAATGTTGGCGTATCGAAATTTCGGTTCGATTTTACCGATTTAACATCCTTAAATTTACTTATGGAGGGGTATTTTCATAAGATAATACATTGAGGGGGCTGACTGTAATAACCAAAACAAGAGAGAATTTTCGTAATTTGACCATAACTCAAGGGTGATTGTAATTTGCCCTATTAATTATTTCAGTATGATTGTTTTGACAAAGAAAGCAAATGATGACTGATATAGCAAACTTGACTACATTGTCATTAAGTATAATTTATAGTGTAAATAACACTTAAACTCCGTTGAAAAGAAAAAGAACAAAAAAACCTTAAACTCATATG